CCTTGAAGGCTAAACCCTAAAGCCTGAACTCTAAACCCTAAACCCTAAACCCCTAAACCCGTGGTAGTCCTATCAGCTTGGTCTGCGCTGTCCGACGCGCGCCGGCGGCTGCTTCGTCAGACATGCCTGGGGTCTTTGACCAGGGAGAGAGGTAAAGGGTTTAAGGTTAAGGGTTTTGGGTTTTGGGTTAGAGGTTTAGGATTAAGGGTTTTGAGTTTAAGGTTAAGGGGCTAGGATTAAGGGTTTAGGGCTGGGGGTCCCTTTGAAATGGTTACAGGTACTGGGATGTTTAGGGACAAGCTGCAGGATGTAAAGGTTTAGGATTGGCGTTTGGCTTCGAGGCGGTAGAGTTCCCTATCCCCTACTTGAAGGTTAAATGGGGCTTAGTAACTACTTAAACCTGGGCTTATAACCTTACTTTCAACCCCCCTTATTAGACTTACGTGGTGATTGGGGTAAGCTACATAAGCCAAACTGAGGGGCTAGAACTTGGGCTATAGGCCCATACAAGTAGTTGCTATGTTCCCCCTCCCGGCTCCTCAAGCTAAACCCTAAACCCGGAACCCTACATGGGGACTTCCCCAAATTTGGAGTACCTTTTGAGGGGGCCCATAATAAGGATTATAATATATTAGGTGTATGTTGGGGTGCCCCTATGTTGGGAAAACTACCACACATTTCCTGTCAACTTCAAAGGCAATAAACAATGGTCCAGTCGCACGGACAGCATCTGCCTGTTGCGGGGCACCCTTGCCTCCGCCAATCAGAACAGGAGCTATTTAAGGTTTAGGGCTGTATGGGGTTGAAACGTTCTTCTTGCATGGTCTTCTAAGTCTATATTGACAATTCACAACAGACGGGAGGCTCCATGAGGTCCTAGGAAAATTGGGATACTATACGCGGATTCTAAATGCGCCGGCTAAGGATACTAGAGGTTTGGAGAAACTTCCTCCTAAGGTTGAGCTAGTATTATCTAAGGACTATAGTATATTGGGGTCTATTTTGGGGTACCCTAAACCCTAAACCCTTTGGGGAAACTACCAAAAAGTCTTTCTTACACAGTGTTTCAGGGCAGCCATGTAGCCTCACTATTGTAAGCGTCTTAAGAGCCAGGCCCCAAGCTACAGGTCATAGCTTTTAAAGGGGTTTATAGGGTTATTTAGGGGTTATATAGGGGGTATAGGGTGTATAGGGTTTAGGATCAACCTAAACTACAAATCCAGAACCCTACAGTAAACCACCTGAAGTATTTGTTGATCTCGGCATGCGCCTGACAAACTCTGATTCAAGAACTGTGCAGCCATAAGCAATGCAAAAAAATGACCTTTTATGATGAATCAGCACAAGCACAGCGAAAGCGCCTGCCCTGAAGCTCTCAAACTTTTCCGTATACCCCACACACCTCAACTCTAAACACAAAACCATAATAAAAGAAGCCGAACCCACGCCATATACGATGCCTGAAGCAATCCAAGAAATATCCAAACCAGCCCAGGTGCTGTCGAGTGCCACTGCAACGGCAGCCAAACTGCCCGGGCCGTAGCCTGGATTGCGTCTGGGGTTTAGGGCACGGGTTCAGGGTTTAGGGTTAGGGTTCAGAGTTCAGGGTTCAGAGTTTGAGGTTTGGGTTTACAGTATGTGTTTGCGGATTAGGTCTACAGCTACAAAGTTTGAGAGTCAATCACAAGAGAAGCCCCCTATGAATGCATACTCCGGTTTTGTTTCAGAGGGACACTTTTACCCATTTCGAGTAGAGTCAGTAGAGTTCTGAGTACCTTGAATCAAGGTCAAACTAAATATAACTTCCGTTGTCCTGGTTTTGAACCCAAATTTGAATAATCCCCTCCCCTTATATTGCCGACATCCCTGGTAACAGCATATCACAGTTCAGGTTGGCCCTAAACCCTCTATACCCCTATATGACCCTATAAACCCCCTTAAAAGCTATCATAATGGGAATTTTCAATATCAGCAGGGTAGGGGGGCCGGTGTTAGTACCCATAATTCAAGCCATGGGATACCTTGAGCCACTAAGCCCTAAAACCTAAACCTAGGGTTTAGGGTTTAGGGTTTAGGGTTTAGGGCAATCCTAATCTCGAAACCCCTAAACCCTAGGAAGGGTTTTGCTGAACAGTGATCTGGCCGCGAGGAGCTTGCCATCCGCTGGACTGTGCTTGTAAAGCCCACCTAGGTCTTCAGGGTTGGTTATTGGGGTCATACAGGGATAATGGAAAAGAAAATGGAAACCCTAGGTCCCCTTAAAGGGATATATTAGGGTTACATAGGGGAGGGTTTAGGGTTTTAAGGTTAAGGGTCTTCAGGGTTCAGGGTTGAGGAATTGATAGGGCTTAGGGTTTAGGATCTAGGGTCAGACGGATTTTTTAGGAGCCGTTTTCACAGCATTTCGGTAACTTTGCCAAACTCGCACGTGCTCCCATTTGAGGAAATGAAGTGGGCAGAATTTTGTGTGTTTGAGGAACCATAAGAGTAAACCCCCCTACCCACCGACCAATAATCTCTTCATAAAGCCATGCTCTATTGTTGGGAAATTTCTCTTGGGAAAGCTACAAGGTTATTACCAGGGAAAGGGCAGTACGTAGATTCTTTGTTACAAGGTTTCGGGCTCAATCGGCTTGCTAAGACACAGGTAGATTGCTGACTAAATCTGAATGCGAAGGGACGACAAGGCTCTAACGCGATCAACACAACCCATCCTATACCCAATTGACTAACCCCATGTATCCAATTGTAGCCGCGTATAGCCCTATGATCCCCCCACACCCTCCGTTCAAGTAGACCCTACACCCCAAACCCTAAACCTTAAACTCTAAACCCTACACTCCAAATCCTTACATCTCTTTCAAGCTTGCAAGATCCAGGCACCGGCCGGCATCCTCCACTCGGCCAAGCTTTAGAAGCCCTGCGAGAACCTTCGCCCGAATGCTGCAGGGTTTAGGGTTTAGGCGCTGTTCTCAGAGTTTCTCGACGGTTTAGGGCTTAGGGCCGTTTGTTTACGATTTAGGGGGGTACCCTTAGTAAGGGTACCTTTTCTTTACGAAGGAACTGGGATGTATAGGGTTTCGGATTTAGGGTTTAGGAGTTGGGGTTTAGGCTCAGACAGAAGGAAGGCCTTTGACAAAACGAAACATAATGCCCAAACTGAATATAACCCAGGCACCGGACTCACACTTAGGCTGCGTTTCTCTACGCCCGACAAGGGAGCTTCTTGCCTTGGATGTCTGGGATTTGAGGGTTCGTATAGGGTATATATAGAGATTATATAACGATGATTATAGGGACTGTATAGGGCTTATATGAGGTTTATATCGCGCTCATAGCACAGAGAGGATTTGATAAGTGACTATGTCTAACCTAAACTCTTAACCTCCTATACCCCAAACCCTAAACCCTAAACCTCCTATACCCTATACCCTAAATACCCTATACCCTAAACCCTAAACCTCCTATACCCTAAACCCTAAACCTCCTGTACCCTAAACCCTAAACCCTAAACCTCCTATACCCTAAACCCTAAACCCTAAACCCTAAACCCTAAACCTGCTATACCCTAAACCCTAAACCCTAAAACCCCTAAACCCTAAACCTCCTATACATCCCTTCTACAGGGCCCGGTTGCAGCCAGTGCAGCGCCCGATCCACGCTGCCCTCCTCGGCCCAGGCTTCGATCACCGAGTTGAAGCAAAAGGCGCTCCTTTTTTAGGGTTTTAGGGTTTAGGGGTTTTGAGGG